GCTCGACTTGAAAAATGATTGTAGGCTCTCCTTGATCCAATTTGAAACTGGTATAAGCATTTTGGCTTGATGGGTACTTCCCTATTTATTGTCATGTATGAGTCGGGTGGCACGCCGCCATGGGTATGTTGTTTGGATCGGGTTGCACGCCGCAACGGTATCATGTGTGGATTGGGGTGCACGCCGCAACAGTATGATGTTGAGTATAGTTCCCCATATTTATACTTGCATGTCTTGTTTCTCATGTTCTGAGGAAGGTTCATAACACCTTTTCGGTTGCTTAAATTGCTACGTGGGTAGAGTAGTTCTTTCCAGAGTTCGTTTTTCCTTATGTATCACATTCGAGTTTGTGGCTTGTTGGAACATGGTTGCATCATATGAGACTTTTGGTAGTGATTGTTGTGGCTTATTACCGGAACGACTTGTACTGGGTTAGGAGAGGTTTTTGGACCTGGGATCAGTGCGAACGGGTTTATATGAGGCATGTTAAAGAGCAAATATCGTTATTTGGTTCATAATGAGTTAATAGTTCCTGTCAGGAGAAGGGACTAAATGATTTGTTGACTATGAAGTTAGTTATGAATTTCTACACATCTCTTCCATCGTGACAGTATTGCAAGAGTTGGAACGGGACATATATATGTGTCATTAGGTGTGTTATGAGCATCAGATTCGTGGAATTTCGGCTATTATTGTCAGAGGATGTTATTGTGGCCATGTAAATAATGTGGTGCATGGTGTGAATTCAGTGAGAGTATACAATCATGTAGTGGTACATTGTGTAGTGATTGAAACGGTGTTCGTATGTTGGAAACAGGCCTAGTAGAGAATTTCGGATGTTGGAATTTGGCTCTAAGGCTTATTTGCCTAAATAAAGGGGAGGATCTTCAGATTTGCTTGGGCTAATGTGCTCAGCTGAGTTGTGGTAGCACGGTTAGGCGCACGAGGGGCTAAACAATGATTTCAGCAAACTCCGGAGCAGTTCTTAGCACGTTCGAGGACGAACGTATATTTAAGTGGGAGAGAATGTAACGACCCAACCGGTTGTTTTGACTGTTAGAATCTCGTTCCCCTAAATAAGACTCCTCGTATGTACTTTTACTAATTTATGATTTGCACGGATGGTTGGTTCGGGATTTGGAAGTGTTCGGGTTGAAATCGAAACACTCAGTTCCTTGGTTTAGCTTTAAAAGGGCAAGTTTGACTTCGGTCAACATTTTTAGAAAATGACCACGAGATCGGAATTTGACGGTTCCAATAGGTTCGTATGATGATTTTAGACTTAGGCGTATGTTCGAATCGGATTTTGGACAACCAGGGAGCGTTTCGGCGCTTAATAGTGAAAATTAACTATTTAAAGGTTTAAGGTTCTTTATATTTGGTTTTGAGTAGGTTTTGGAGTAACTGAAGTCCGTTTGGAATTCCGAGCCTGGGAATAGTTCCGTATGGTGATTTAAGACTTGCACACAAAATTTAGTGTCATTCCAAGTAGTTTAAATATGTTTCGGCGCGTTCGGAGTAAGTTTGAGAATTTAAAATTTCTAAGTTGAATCAATTTGGTTTGGGGTATGATTCTTAGTTTTGATATTGTTTTACATGTTCCGAGGGTTCGAGAAAGTCCGTGTTATGATTTCAAACTTGTTGGTATATTCGGACCGGGCACCGGGAGCCTCGGGTGTTAACCGGACGAGGCTCGGACCAAGTTTGGACTTGGAAAGGACTGCTGAAGCTCCTAGCTTCTGGTGTAACCGCACCTGCGCATGGGCAGCCGCAGGTGCGAGCCACGAACCGCAGGACCAAAGAAGAGGAGGGGTCGCTGGGCACAGTAGATGCATAAAAGGAACCGAACCTGTGAAGGCGCAGGTGCGAAGGGGTGAAACGCAGGTGCGGAGGAAGGTGCAGGTGCGGCTTATAGACCGCAGAAGCGAGCCGCTGACCGCAGGTGCGAGAAAAGCTGGCTAAGGGAAAGCCGCATCTGCGAGGGAATTTCTGCAGATGTGGAGACACAGAAGCGGCTTGAGAGCCGCAGGTGCGAAAATGCTGTTGAGCAGAATGGTTTAAAGGGAACGAGGCTCAGTCATTTTTAGCCCATATTTCCTCCAGTTTTGGGCGATTTTGGAGCTTTTTGAGAGAGGATTTCAACTAGAAACTTAAGTAAGTTAATTCGACATACTTTGAATTAAATATATAGATTATGGGTAGATTATAACCTGTAAATCTTAAAAATCAAGGGTTTAGATGAAAAACCTAGGTTTTGACAAAAATGAGATTTTAACCACGAAAATGGTTATGGAATTGGATAAAAATTGTATATTTGAGCTCTTGAGATTATGGGTAATGTTTTCCTCCAAACATTTCTGGAATCTGGGCACGTGAGCCCGGAGTGAATTTTAGAAACTTACCATTTTTGGATAGGGTAATTTATTTGATAGTCTAATTTCAAATTTTCGAACATGTATTAATTATTTTATATAATATTTGGATAGTTTTGTATTTTTCGGCTCCGAATTGGGAATTGTTTACGCGGTGTTGTGATCGGAAAATGGGCTTTGAGACAAGGTAAGTCTCTTGCCTAACCTTGTAAGGGGAAATTTACCCCATAGGCGATTTACAATAATAATTGTTGCTAATTGTGGGGGTTACGTACGCACGAGGTGACGAGAGTCCGTGCGTAGCTATTAATTATGCTATGTCCGGGTAGTTTAGTACTAAAATCATGAATTACTTGTGATAATTTCTCCTTTTATTTAATTAAATTACTGAAATTATATTGTAAATTGTTAGAGGAAATAGTAAAAGATCGAAACTTCGTATACTTGAATTTTATATAAATTGTTAAATTGTTAATAGAGATTGAACATCCTACGTGTTAACATTATACTAACTTCTCATTCCGGAGGTTCATAAGAAAATATCTTCCTTTCTTATAGAGCGGGACGAACGCCTCGGCAGTATAGATGCATCTATGGATCGCGCCGCACGTCCCTCAGCAGTGTACACGCCACTCTGGATCGGGCCGTATGACCTCGGCAGAAATCGTGCCTAATAATAACAATTACATGATACTTTGATATTTTAATTGCAGCTTGTGAAGCTAATTGATAAATTAAAAATTAATTCATTTCGATACTTTGATATTTTAATTGCAGCTTGTGAAGCTAATTGATAAATTAAAAATTAATTCATTTCGATACTTTGATATTTTAATTGCAGCTTGTGAAGCTAATTGATAAGCTGAAAATTATTGAAATTTAATGAATTAATTATTTATGCTTGTTAGGAAAAATTATTGTTGTTCACCTAAAAATCATGTTTAATTAATTATATTCTATTATGAAATTATTGATCCTTAGTGAGTGTCAAAGTCGACCTCTCGTCACTACTTCTTCGAGATTAGGCTTGATACTTATTGGGTACACGTTGTATACGTACTCGTGCTACGCTTGCTACACATTTTTGTGCAGGTACAGATATGTCTAGCGGCCTTGGGATGCAAAGGTGTGGTTAAAATGCGGCGACTTAGGTGAGCTGCATTCTATATTACGATCCGCAGCCAACAGGGTATCCTTCAGAGTTATTTATATTTTTCTGTCTAATTTGTATTCCGGACAGATGCTGTATTTTATTTTACCCTCTAGTTAATGCTCATGCACTTGTGACACAGGATTTTGGGAGTGGTTATGGGTTGTTTAGTAATTTAGTTGCTAAAATAATTATCAATTACTCTATGAGTTATATCTTTACTATTTAATTGAAGGAACTTTCGATTAAAAAAATACTAAAATGAGTAATTAAGTTAATTAATTATGGTTCGCTTGCCTAACAGCAGTGTTAGGCGCAATCACGGCCTTTTAATGTATTTTGGGTCGTGACAGGACCTCAACCCAATACACCAACAAGTCTTAACATATCATACAAACTTAGTTGAAACCCCAAATCACATAAAACAACGCTAAAACTACGAATCATACCCCCAATTCAAGCTTAAGGAACTTAAGAATTTCCAACTTCTACATTCGATGCCGAAACCTATCAAATCAATTTCGATTGACCTCAAATTTTGCACACAAGTCATAAATGACATAACGAATCTATGAAAATTTTCAGAACTGAATTCTGACTCCGATATCAAAAAGTCAACTCCCCGGTTAAACTTCCCAAAAATTCAACTTTCACCATTTCAAGCAAAATTTCACTACGGACTTCCAAAAAAAAATTCGGACACGCTCCTAAGTCCAAAATCACCATACGAAACTATTGAAATCATCAAAACTCTATTTTGGGGTCTTTTACACATAATTCACCATCCAATCAATCATTTCAACTTAAGCTTCCAAAACAAGAATTGTTCTTTCAATTAAATCCTGAATCATCCGAAAACCAAACTTGACCACCCTCGTAAGTCATTATACACATTTCAAAGTTGCTCGAGACCTTAAGCCACCGAACGGAACGTAAAATCTTAAAACGACAAGTCGGGTCGTTACAGTATGTGTCATGTATGTACAAACTGTGAATTAAAAATTACATAGATGTCAAGAGTTCTGGTCATGACGTACCAGTTTAACGTGAGAATAAAACATATATCGTTTCAAAATAAAATATTAGGAGCGCGATACGATTGTATTGCATGTTTGGACCTAACAACGTCAAAATTAATTTCATTACACATTGTCATACTACAATAACCGGCCTCAACTTCATAGAGAATATGTCAAATAATGTTGCATTAAAATTTCATGTTACTCATCCAACTCATGTATACTTTTAAACAATTAAATCATTTTTTAAAAANATATATATATATATATATGTGGACTTAATTATTTATGTGGGTATAAAACTTTTAATATTTATGATTTTTAAATATTTCGTAACATTTACGTGATTGTACAAGATTGTTGCTAAGTGAAAATTGAAAAAAAATACTAAAAAAAGCTTTTCCAAAATATGTCATTGTTTTTGGATTGCTTGCTATAAAAACTGAAAGGGGGGAGTATATTGTTGGATTCATTTATGTACACGACGATTCCAAAGTCTGAAAACATCAAGAAGCCGAGGAGCAAGAGTGCAGAAAAATGGCTTCTCCTCCTTGTATTCATGTTGTTCTGTTCCCTTTCATGTCCAAAGGCCACACAATTCCCATCTTCGACCTTGCTCGCATTCTTCTCAATCGCAAAATTGCCATCACCATTTTCACCACTCCTGCAAATCGCCCTTTCTTCTCCAAATCTCTTTCTAACACAAACATAAATATCATCGACATCCCTTTTCCTGAAAATATAGAAGGAATTCCCCCAGGTGTGGAAAGTACTGATAAACTTCCTTCCATGTCACTTTTTGTTACCTTTGCTAACGCCACCAAATCTATGAAACCCCAGTTCGAACAAGCCTTAGAATCTCTTCCGCCAGTTACTTTCATGGTCACTGATGGCTTCCTCGGGTGGACTTTAGACTCTGCAAATAAATTTGGTATCCCAAGAATAGCTTATTACGGCATGAGCGCATTTTCCTCGGCCATATCGCATTCAGCTGCTTCAGTTCTTCACACAGAAGCGTCCGACGACGAGCCTTTTGCAGTCCCTAATTTCCCTTCGATTAAACTCACTAGAAATGATTTTGATTTTCCCTTCAGAGAGCGTGAACCAAAGGGTCCCATTTTCGAGTTCACCACGGAGGCAATCATAGCAACCTCTAAAAGCTATGGTCTACTTGTGAACAGCTTTTACGAGCTTGAATCTATTTATGTAGACTACTGTAACCGTACATCTAGTCCTAGAAAAGTGTGCGTCGGACCATTTTGTGCAGCGGTCGAACCACCAAAAGAACAACAGGAGAAGCCTTCATACATCAAATGGCTTGATGAAATGTTAGAACAGGGGAAGCCAGTTTTGTATGTTGCATTCGGGTCACAAGCTGAACTATCTCCTGAACAATTCAAGGAAATCAAAATTGGGTTGGAGAAATCTGAAGTTAACTTTTTTTGGGTAGTCAGGAGAAGCGCTATAAGTGAACCCAATGAAGAGTTCGAAAACAGAGTAAAAAACAGGGGACTGGTGGTTGCAGAGTGGGTTGATCAAAGACAAATCTTGAGCCACGGGAGCGTTCAAGGTTTCTTAAGTCACTGCGGTTGGAACTCGGTAATAGAGAGCATATGCGCAGAGGTGCCAATACTAGCATGGCCAATGATGGCGGAGCAACACCTAAATGCAAGGATGGTAGTGGAGGAAATCAAGATTGGACTAAGGGTCGAGACTTGCGATGGGTCAGTGAGAGGGTTCGTGAAGTGGGAAGGTTTGGAAAAGCCGATAAGGGAATTAATGGAAGGAGAGAAAGGTAAAGAGGCAAAGAAGAAAGTGAAGGAGATTTGTGAAGCAGCCATTAATGCAGTCAAAGACGGGGGAACATCATGGCAAGCGTTAAATGAGCTTATTCATGAGTTAAGTGGAAGAGGACAAGTTTGAACAGGAGGCTAGCTTTTGTTTAGAAATAAATAAAATTTATGGGTTCAACCCACAGTTCAGTGCGGACTACAATATATGCATGGATACTTGTATTCTCTAATTTCTCTGTATGTTTCTGGATCTGCAAATCTTTATTTGAAAAAGTTTACTGAGTTTTGCATTTCTGTTTCCTTAGGTTAATGTTTTCTCTTAATAAAAGTAATCGAAATACTCGAACAATATGCACTTTTAATATTAAATAGTATACTATTTTTTTCGCAGGGTCTAATTCCACCACGTCACTCAGCTCCACAAGTTCTGTACCTCACTTTTTGGTGTTCTCCTAGACTGGTACTATGTATCATTTCTTTCTAAAACATTTGCTGATTGTGGTAAGTGTTGCTTTAGCCAAATGTATATAGTGTGAATGAGTCACAACTATTATATCAAAAATTATGACAATCACTAAATAATAAACAAGATNAACTCAGTAAGCTATAGTTTATCTCCATAATGTCATGTTAAGTTGCCACTTACAATGGAGTACGATACATTGATATCGTTGTTATGTAAAAAAAATGAGTGTGAGCAAACGTTCGGTGAATATTAAAGTAATCGGAAGATATCAGTATTCGGTGATTCCGCAAGGGGCTGCTTGTTATGCTGAGTTTAACATTGAAGACGATGAAACTTTGAGAGATTTTTTGAGGACTCCGGATGAATACCGGGAATTTCTTATTATAAAACTGTTGGAAATGTACGTCAAGGCTGAAGACGTTCGCAATAATGAGGTTGCACAAAGTAGGGATACTCCTCAATCATCGGATGGTTATTTTGGAGCAGTTTTAGCCGAACAGATTCCAGGTGAAAGAGTTTGGCCTGATCTAAACTTATCTCTACGGGTGAATAAGGAGCGAGGAAATAATTTCTCACCTAGTTTACATAATCCACAAGCCGAGTGATAAACTTTAATTTTTCTTTGTGTTACGATATTTATTTTTATGTATTGAATTTGTATTAACACTCATATATTCCACATGGGGTACCAGCCATATATGAATTTTAAAAGTTATGAACCAATGCCCAGTTCGAATATGACTAGTTTTGGTGTGTTGGATCATAGTGGTCCATCCGAGAGTCATCATCAACAGGATAATGTCCATCATGGGATATCAACACATTATGATTTGTAAGTGAAGTGATAAAGTTATATGTAAAGTTTGGATCAATTTGAGTAACTCATTATTTTATTGCTTGTGTAGTAAAACGAACAACTTGAAGGTCCCGTCCTTACTCAATTGCCCGAAGACGACATATTTAATCGGGATCTAGCAGATGCGTAGAATTAGGAAGAGAATAGTGATTATGACAATAATGTCGATGAGTCTCGAGATGACACACCCTTCTTTGATGAGGGTGATGATGAGAAGGAAGAGAATGTTAAACCTGATTTGACGAGGGAGCATGCTCCACCTCCCGTTAGACCAAAAGTGTACGATTTCCACGTGTCGTTTCATTCAAGGGAGATTCCCTACCTTGATCATTTGCCAAGTATGCCGGATGTGGATGCCCTCACAAGGGATATTGACAAAATTCGGACAACAATGTGGGATGAATCTAGAGTAATGGTGTTGTCAAAGGGCATGCTTTTTCCTGATAAAGCGCGCCTAAGCAGGGCAGTGCGAATGTATAGCGTAAAAGAGTGTCGTGAGATCATGGTAGCAGATTCATCTCCTAATGTATACAATGTTATTTGTCGTAGATGGTTTATGGGTTGTAATTGGATGCTGCGTGCGATAAAGACTAAAACAAATATGTGGTTTGTGGGTAAATACATTAGCACCCACAATTGTAAAATGGACAAATTCAGTGGGAATCATTTTAACTTGAATGTTGACTTGATTTCTCTTGTCTTGATTTCACACATTGAAGCGTCTATAAGGTACAAGATCAAAGAGTGTATAACATCTGTCCACCAGGAATATGGGTATACCATAACCAAAAGAAAGGCATTTCTCGGGCGCAAACGTGCGTTTGAAATTGTTTATGGTAATTAGATAAGTCTTTTGCATTTCTGCCAGGTACATGTCCGCACTGCAACAATTTAACCCCGGGACTGTTGTTGAATGGAAGCTTGAGCGGAGTTCGAGAATACCAGAACATATATTCAGATATGTATTTTGGGCATTTAAACCAGCAGTTGATGATTTTGTGCATTGTCGGCCGGTATTATCCATAGACGACACTCATGTCTATGGAAAATATGATATTAAGTTGTTGATCGCCGTTGTAGTAGATGCTAATAGATGTATATTTCCACTAGTTTTTGCTATTTGTACCAATGAAAACCAAGAGACGTGGACACTATTTTTGAACCACTTGAAGGAGCACATTGTTAGACAACGTTTAGGTATTTGCCTAATATCTGATCGGCATGGTGGTATTTTAAGTTCTGTATAGAATTTGCGTGCATGGCAGGAACCGTATGCCTACCACCGTTACTGTGTGAGGCACCTGAAGGCCAATTTCCAGAAGGCACAACCCAACAAGGATTTGCATGATTTAATGTGGATGGCTGCAACAGATCACCAAGAATATAAATTCAGGAATTGAATGGAATTGATCAAGCAGGAAAATGAATGAGCCTATCGTTTGATGCGACATGAGCTTGACAAGTGGACTTTGCATTCGGATGGTGGCAGAAGATGGGGAATTCTGGCTACAAATGTGTCACAGTCTTTCAATGGGTTATTAAAGTCTATCCGTGGATTGCCTGTCACTGTCATGGTACGGATGTCATTCAAGCAGATGGCGGAGAGGTTTGTTGAAAGGGCTAGAGGTGCATCTTCATTGATGGAAATGGGTGTTGAATTTATGCCAATACCAATGAAAAGATTTGAGAAATATAGGAAGCGAGCACATTGGCATTCATTTTTGCAGTATTGCAACGAGTGAAATATTTTTGAAGTTCGCACCGCTATCCATCACAACCAGGGGAATAATACACACACCGTCAATGAATCCAGAAGGTTATGCTCATGTGAAAAATGGTCCATCTATCACATGTCATGCTCACATGCCATGAAGTGCTTTCAACATACAGGTTTCGTGGCAATGAGGTATATTGATAAAGAACATAGTGTTGTTGCATACTTAAACACCTATAGACAGTTGCAGCCAGTGGGTGTTGAGCATTATTGGACGCCGGAACTATTTAAAATGGTATGTAACAAGGAGCATTTGTGTCAACGATAAATACAAAAAAGAACGCGTATACGAACCAAACGGATGTTGGTGATACCATTTATGCTAGTAAATGTGCCATATGTTCGCAAACAGGACACGACTGTCGCAAATGTCCTTCAGCTGGTTTGGGTAGCGGTGGTAATACAACCCCTGGTGGAAGTTCATCCAATGTGCCCAATTATCAAGGGTACACGTAGTATTTGTTTCTGTAATTTGTTGTAATAAGTGTATGTACATGTTCATCTTGCATAATGTATGAAATAAAATTATGTTTCTAATGGTATTAAGTCTTATTAATATTTAACATTAATACTTCAGTACAACAATTTAAATACACCCCAAGAAAAAAAATAATTGTCATTCACCATTATCATCATTGTGTGGCACTATTTCAATGTCACTTTCTTCATCTTCTTTGTCAACATCGTGTACGCACCCTTTGGGACCACGGGCATCATAATCTAGACTCCAGTTGACACACATTTCTCGTATTTTATTGTTATCATCAATAAGACCACTTGCTTGATTTCTACAATAATATGGGACTCCAACGTCCAACGTCTGTGGTAGAAACTTAGGTAGTCCCTCCCACTCGACAACTATTGGGAAAACAGAATAATCATCGTCTCTATGCAATATTTTTATTTTCTAATAAATCTCAGTACTGATCCTCCGTTCCTCCCAGGAAGTTAAGATCATCCATTGCATGATGAACAACTAGTGCCTTTTCCATCTCTAGAATATCCTTCATCAAATGCCGAATCACTTCTGGTTCGTCTTTGTGTGTGTTTGTTAGGAAGGTTGCAGACAGTGCTTGTGGCACAACAAGCCACGCCAGGCTTTGTAGTTTTTCGCCCCAAATTCGCATACCTTCAGGCTTTGTAGAATGCGCTTCACCCTTAATAATGTGCCTTGCAACTTTGAGATCAGTGTGCATATTAATAGGCTTATTTTTCAAGGGACGCAGAACACCATACCACTTGTCATCAACCAAGTCAGTATAGCAACCTAGCATATTTTTTTCAAGGTAAGGATCGATAGTATTAAGACGTGTTCCATGGTGATCTGTTGAACTACCTTCACCCTTCTGCCTCTTTTTGAACCACTTATTAAATTTAAGTGGCATTTGTTGTAATAAGACTTGAAAATATTTATGAATGGATTCTTACAAAATTCTTAACCTCTTTAAATAAGGCAAAAACCAGTTTGGGAGGTACAATTATTTGAGGTATAGCACCTTAAATATGGACGCTATACCCAGTTGAATTATTGTTATGTCATTTAAGCCCAGAAGAATTATTGGTGGGCCCACATAATATATATAGCGCAGTACATTAGGGCTTTATATATATATATATATATATATATATATATAGCGCCATATATTAGGGCGCTATACTTAACTGGACAAACGGTCGTTAAGGTATAACGCTTTAAGCTTGAGCGTTATATATATATTGGTTCCTAATTTTTTTCCCCATACATTTTGGTTCTTTGAGTCCAAAAAAACCACATTTTGGTTTCGGACTCGTTAGTGTGACATTTGTTTATTTATTTAGCCCACCCTTCTTCTTTCTTGTGACTGCCAACTGTTAGCATACTTTTGGCAAAAATACAAAAAGGACAACTAAAGTTTCTAGAGTTACTTTTCTCGGTTGATATAAAGATTAACTAAAATGTAAAGGCTGATACGATTTTGTCTCTGACTATTAATACGATAAAAAATTATACGTATTAGATATGATTAAATATTAAATTAATTTAAAAATGTGAATTAATTAATTATAATTTAGTAAAATCATATTTACAAACACATATGTCATGTATTTATTTGATTTTATATATATATATATATATATATATATACACACGCGTTAACATCTTGAAACTCAAATTTTTAACTCAAAATTTACCGTGTATAAATTATGAATTTAT